ATGAATAAAGTGTTTCTTGCATTTCTCTAAAAACATAATGATAATGACCCTCACACTTGTATAGCACCTTTCAGGGTCAGAGGACTCCGAAGCGCTTTACACTACAATGTATCATTCTTCCATTCACACACTGATAACATTTTTTGGGCTGAAAGCAACTATTGGACCATCTGGTTGTTGGTCTTGCCAAACCACCATACTTCCTTGCGTTATTTTACACTCACATATTTAGCAGCAGAACACCACTGTGTCATGGCTCGAGGTAAGTGCCTAACCCAAGACATGCAGAATCATCACACAAGTCCAAAGTAGTAAAGTAAAAATGTCTTTATTATAAACGGTAACTGAAAACTGCAACAGGGAAGTCCTGTGCTGAGGAGCCAAGACGGCTCGAGTCTTTGAGGTGTTCAGGTTGAATGATGAGGGGAAGGGAAGCCGGGAAGGACGCTGAGCAGAGGGTGAGAGATTTCGTAGGAGCGAGGCAGCAGAGGGAAATCCGAGCAGGAACGGCGGAGGAGGACGAGACGTGTTGAATAATCCAGAAGTGAAGACAGCGAGGGTGAGAAGATGACGAGGTGATCCTGAGCGAGACAAACAGGTGTAAGGGATAATCCAAATCCGAAAATACAATCCAAGGTCAATAATCCAAAAGTCGAAGGCGAGTCAAAACACGAGTTAACAAGTTTCAAGGCGAGTGGCTGGTCCTACCTGAACTGGTACAATCATCCGGCGAAATGAACTGTCTCCGTCCTCCTTTTAAACCCGCGTTCCTGATTAGAGAATCGTCTGCAGCTGTAGTTCCCTCTGCGCCCCACCTGTGGAGAATGAACTCAGATTCTGATGAGAGGAGATGATGGAACTCACCTCTGCTCAGGGACATGACACACTGGTGTGAGATGTTCTTCACTCAATGGAGAAGAAGTAACAGCCGGCTGCTACCACATCAACTTTGGGCAAACTACCAGAGTCCCAAAAAGAAAAACACCATTTAAAGTCACGAACAACAAAAGATGTTTGGACCTAGAAAACGGTGACTGGTGTTTAGCGCTATCTTGTTTCCTTTTGAAATGTGGGTTTTCTGTTGCAGCAGAAGTGTCTCAGTGAAGCTACCCGAGGGGAGGGGTGAGTGTTCTGTGATTGTGATTGCGTTCAAAAACTAAATTGTTCTGTAGATTCGCTATAACAGCTTTTACCAGAGTGGGAGACCTAATCCTAGTTTATACGTCAATTAGAAAATCAAATTACGTAATGAAGTGTTCGACTCCACATGGGGCGACATGTGCTCTTTGGTGTTAGCATTTTTCCGGTTAGCCTGTAGCAACACTCAAATGAACAAACTGGCGGGATTGAAGCAGACGCAGAAAAAGCAGGATTTACACAATTTATTTGCATTAATTCAATATGGGTTATTTATTTTTGTTGAACTTGATATAATTCCTTCTTCTGTGGTTTTGTCACATCCACAAGCAGCCCAGGCCGGTTGTAATCTGGGTGCTGTTGCTGGATTAGCAGTAGGCCTTTGGGTTCTGCTTCAGCTGGGCTAAAGTGTATACATGCATTATAAAAGTCCAAATATAATCGAACAAATGGAATAATTACATTTTCTCTGACTGAGCGTAGAGCCTTTGAGTGAGACTTTCTTACCTATTAAAGCATCTCGGTTGTTTACAAAAAGTCTTCTCAACTCGAGCTTCTCATACGGCAGCTGAATTTGTCTGAAGTTTTCTGAATCCTCTCGTGTTTGCTACCATTGCAGGGCCTCCTCGTGGCCGGTGGTTGCAGTATGGCAACGGTTGACGTGGCTTATCTTCCTAATGCACCCTCCTCTGCAGAGGCCATAAATTAGTCTGAAATATGGAGCAGGCTGCCGCTGCCAACCTCATCTGCAAAGTGAGTGAAGTGAAGCAGAAAGAGGCAGCCCGGGCTGCAGCGTCAGGCTGTTCTCCATAAAGAAGTTTGATACGTCTGCTGCACTGGCTCCACTTTTTCCTTACTCACAAATGAGACATTACATTTCTGAGTCGTCGCTTTTTCTTCCACAACTACAACTGTAGATAGTGCTACATGATAGGTTTCTCTTTATAAACCAGGCATTAATTAGAATCCGTACCAGTAATAAAACAGATTGGCTATCCGTAATTATGGAAGAGTGAGAAAGATAAGAAGCGTTTTGTCAGAGAATTCTCCTGGCTTTGTGTCGCTGAAAGCAGGAACAACTCTTACAAGCAAATAAATGAGATACGGCTTTAGGCAGATGCCGCTTTTTCTCATTTTAATTGTAATTTCAGTTCTCTGACCTTTTGCACCATTGTGGAAATGAAAAGAAAAAAAACAAGACATCGCTAGAAAATTAATTTTATTTCAAACAAAATGCAGCCTTTAATCTGCCTTTTTATTATATTCCCAAATGGTTTCTTTGTCTGTTTTGATAGGAGAGAAAATTGCCAGCTGAATGAAATAAACGCAACAATAGTTGTTCCCGCTGCACCTCTGATGCAAGGTGTCTGCTCAAATCCTTTCATTTAATGATTTTATTTTTAACCACCAATCCAGATAAATAGACAGCAAGAGCTGAATTAACTGTACATCTGCTGGAGGGCAACAAATACGATGATTAAAACCAACTTAAGCAGCAGCTGCACGCCTGAGACGTTAAAAGTCAGAAAACAAGATGGGCAGCTGTTTTAAATGGAGACTAGGCGGATTTGGTTTGCTTTTAGCACCCCCTAGTGTCCATTTGTAGAACCGAAAGCTAAATATCCTCTCTATGTGTTTGTCTTTTTAACACCTCAATGTAGCGGCTGAAATGTCTCCCCAGCCTTCATTAGTGTCTACAGGAGTGATTCATCACTACATTAAACAAAGCAGCTGTGTTCATGATCTCAAACATACAGGAAACATGCTGAAACCAGACTGTTGCAGAGTATTCCTTTAATGTTCAAATGCTGGCATTGTCTCGTCCAGAGCTAAGGATGAATGAGTGAGCGCCAACCCTCCAGCTGTGAGGACCTGAGGATGAGGAGCAGATTAAAGTTTAGAGTAAAACTAATTTCAACCACGCTGCTCTCAGTGTTCCCTAAACAGGAGAGATCATCATGTCACGAGGAGTGAAGTGGCAGAGCTGGAGACAGGTGAATAAAAAGCTTAACACATTTTTAAGTATCACTCCTGGGAGTGATTGTTCATAATGAAGTAAAAGTTCAGCCTGCTCCTCTTACTTTTCCCTTTGCAGGTGTTGAGGAGGACTGCAGGCTTCCAGGAAGCCGAGGAGCTCCGGTGAGTTCAGGGAGGAGCAGCAAACAGGAAGAGCGGTTTTAGGCACGGGCAGACAGGGCAGTGCCCGGGGCGGCATTTTTTCATGACACAAAAGGGGCGCACAAGCGCTGAGTAAAAAAAAAAAAAAAACAGGAAATCTGCGCCGCACCGAGGTTTTCTATTATCTGTCATATGACAGTGTCTGGATTGGAAACAGCAAGTTGGCGCCCCCTGCAGTTGCAGGCGCTCCTGCTGACTGAGAACGTTCACGTGCACCGTGTGTCTATGAAGAACAGGAAGGGGAGGGGTGCGGCGGGGGAATTCACCTCTGCGTCTTTCCCAAATGAAATGAGCGTGCAGGGGCTGAATCAACTGTATTAACATGGCTAAAGTCAATCACATCTTAACGTTCTTCCATTTTTCATTCATAATATCACAAACACAGGCCTATCATTCTTTCAGGTTTCTCTGAATTGTGTGAAATGGCCGAATAAAAAAAGGAAAAACAAAACGATTTTGTGGTCACCCCCCCATCAAGGTCAAATAGTTTAGTCCTGACTAAAGGAAACTTACTGAGTCAAGAGCCAAACAGAAGAGATGAACAATAAAAGGCTAAATCCACCAGGTGCCCCCATTCAGGGGGGAAAAAAAATAAAAAAGAGGAGAAAAATAAAGGTATGTTCGCTCTCATGATGCATGTTTTCAATTTTTTGAACCAGTTAACTGGGATTTTAACGGTTAAATGCGGTCAACTAATGGCTAACAGAGCTAATAGGGCTGAAATATTGAAACGAATATTCAAATGGTTCGAATAAATTCCTTGAATCGTTTTTTACTGATTCAAACTAGGATTTGTTAAATGCTCGCTGCAGCCTGTGGCCTGCCTGAACAACAACAAACACATGTTGACCATGTTCACATAATAATAAATAAAACAACTCTACAAGCAGAAGAAAACTCCCCAGTCACCACTAACTATCCTGTTTATTTATTGCAGATGGCTGCACTGATTATTTTACATGATTTGTTCTGTAAAAGTTGGCATTTTTGTTAGTCTACAGTTTTTTATGTCAGTTTAAATTACAATTTCAGAGGCAATTCTAAAATATCATGGATCATGAGATCTATTGGAGATCTACCCCAACTTTTGGACTGCTCTGCCAGTCACTGTGGCTCAAGCTGAGAGGGCTTTTCAAACTTGATCGTCATACCTGAGGTCACCTGTGTTTCAGGGGTGGCTCACTAACCTGGCTCTGATTAGTATCAGTCACTCAGTAGGGGAGCAGATTTCATATGATGACATTATTGATGACGTTGCATCAAGGTTAGGTTTTAATTTTAGTTTGTGTTTTCTATTCTAAGTGCAATGCTGTAGTGATTATCTTTAGTTTGTTATGTGTGAAATACTTTTGCTATTTAGAATATTTATTATCTATTATGTTCATATATTCTTAATATTTAGTTATTGTTTGTTTTTGTATATTTGATTCTATATATTTTGATACAGTATATAATGTATAGTGCTTTACATTCTGACAACTTCATAGTAATTAATGTAAATATGTGCAACTTAGAAAAATGAATGTTCAATAGTCGTTCTAATAAAACATGCCTGTTTGTAGAAAACATGCGTGTGTTCATGCAGGTGGGGTGGTGTGGTGGTGGTGGTGGTGGGGGGGCGCTCAAAGGGGGCCTCGCCCGGGGAGTAATTCGATGTAGAACCGCCACTGGGTGTGTCCTTACTACGGCCTACCGTTGTCGGCCAAACTGCGAATGAAACAAATGCAACACATGAAAAACAGACCTGCTGTCTAAAGGTTTTCTGTTCTGTCATTGATCTCTCTAAAGTGTAGATCCAGCTATCTTCTGTGTATGCAGCTATGATTACAGCTCAGTGTTTCCTACAGTCAGCTCACATAGCAGTAAACCAATACAATGGAGGAATAAATGTTGTAGTTTTGATGCATTTTGACCAAAAGTGTCCCAAAAACATATAAGTTACGTCACAACATTCGTTACGTCACTAGGAGTTTCGGAGAAGAGCCCAAACTCAGAGGATGAAGACTGTCACGCTGCAGAAACTAAATAAGGATTCAGGTGAAATGTTCTGACAGCTGAAGGCATCTCAGACAGATGAATGTTCACCGAGGAGTCCAGGGAACCAACAAACAGTGAGATTATATACGGGGCAGGCTGCTGGCAGACAGAAACGACGCTGCAGAAAGGTTCCTAAACAAAAACAAAAACATAAGAATCAAGGTAAATACTAATTAAAAGTCTAGAGTGCCTCAGAGAGGTGATTTTTGCCCAGATCTGCTTTTTTTGTTTCTGTAAAACAATGTTATGTGTAATTTTGTGATGGATATTTAAAGGTTTGTGAAAAACTTTTAGAAAGTTCTGGAGAATAAGATACTTTGCAGACAGATAGGGTTGAGTTGAGTCCAAGCACTAAAGGTAAGGTTGCATGATTAAAGGGTGAGACACACCCTGGGTGGAGATTTGCCTCACCCACACTTCCTGTTAGAAAATGAGCCTAAAGGAGGTGTCGCCTGGTGGACCAAGAGAGGGGCACAGAGGGAGTGATTGACAGCACCTCCCCCTTTGCACTTGTAGAGTTTCTCAGTCAGAAAAACAAGTTGTTAACAAGCTCGTGCACACACACACACACACACACACACACACACGCACGCACGCACGCACGCACGCACGCACACACACACACACACACACACACACACACACAGAGCAGACTCACCGCTCAGGAGAAGAGCAAACACAGAAACTGCAGCAGGCTGAAGGATTTCCTGTCCACCACGATCACTAGGAGAAAGGGGGAGGATGTTTTTATAAGGAATTACAAGCCATAACGTTTCATATCGGCAGGTGAGTGGCCGAGCCAGCTGGAGGTGCAGCCAAGACTCAGCTGGATTACGGACGTCACCTCGTACATCCTAGCCATCAGCTGTGGCTGATTCTAAATCAATGTGGAGCAAAGTTTTAACCAGAAGACAGAGATGCAGTTATGATTTAGGGCTGAAATATTAAATGTTTGTAAGTTGCGCTGAACGGCCAAAATAATGATTACACGTGTCTACAGCACTGTTAGACACTCATCTTTACAGGTTATCAGCAAGAAAAGTTCATTTAGGTGTCACTTAAAATTCTAGCTTCTCCTTTTCTGCATGGAGTTAGTAAGAAAATTATGCACAGAACAAAAACGTGCATGCTGTTTTGACAGGTGAGAATTAGTCCTTAGCTGTGTGTGTCTCCATATGTCCCTGTGATGGACTGTCACTGATAGAAATGAGACATAACTACAGCGCCCTAGTTAAATGGACTGACTCCAGAAAGTCATCAGTTGTGGGTGGATTGGTAATTAAAATTTTCTGAAAGTTTAATTCCCGTTCATGATGTCGTTCATGAGATCTTCGGCTCTCAGTCAGACAGGGTTAAACCCAACAGTAAAGTCAACGGATCAAATATGACCAGTTTGTGTTTAAATCTTGGGAGGAGAAGGAATCTCACCTGCGAAATCTCACCTGCGACCACATCAACGTTTATCTCAGCATCTGTGAAATTCACCTATCTGAAGCCATTTTTGTGCTTTCCTCAAGTGTGATTAGCCATGTCGGCCATCTTGAATGCGATTGAGAGTTATTCACACACAGATGCACATCCAGTAATTACTTTCTGGAGATTTAATCAAATATCTATATTTATATGTATGTTCGCAATTTAAAATAACCACTCAGGGGGGAGAAGTGGCTTTAAGGAGGACCTCTGTTCATCAGGTCACTAAAATTATAATTATTTGGTCTAATAGTAAAATAATAAACAATAATCACCTTACAAAGCTCTTTATTAACTCATCTAAGCTGCGGTTTGTAGCCGGGTCTGTTCATGTGAAGGCCTTTTAAAGAATTCCTTTTATTGTGCATCTGAGGATCAGCTGATGAATCCTACTTACAGGATAACAGAAATAGTCAATAGTCCTCCTCCACAGCAGGGCTGAAGCCTTCAAAAGAGACTTTTTTAGAATAGCAAGGCTGAGATTGCTACAATAACAAGCTGACGAGACGGACATGCCAGCCGTCTCCGTCAAACCCATCACATCCTCTCATTAATTACCACTGTTCTGTGACATCTTCCCTTTTGAAAAGCCTGTTTCAGCAGTCCCCCCTATCAAGCATCTGAGCGCTCCATGCTCACTGTCCACTGCAGACACACTTAAAGTAATGAATAGCTGTAGGAGGCTGGCATTCTTTACTGCAGCGAAGTGAAAGGCCACTCAGTCTGGATCCACCGGAGGGAGAAAGGAAAATCTTTTCGGCACCATCTGGCTGAACCGAGCGAGTCTCTGGGGATATGATTAAATTCATTTGGTCATAATAAAAACTATTGTTTCTGTGAAAGATGCATGTCAAAGGCTGATTGAGAGCAGATTAAATGTTTTTAATCACATCTTTAACAAGTTTCTTCTTCCTGAAACTCGCCTGTGATGTAACCGCTTAGAAATCAGAAACCGGACCTTTATCTGTGGAGAGCCAATGAATAAATAAGTGTTCTGAGGCAGCTGGAAGGTTTCTGAAAGGAGGCCTTTGATGGTCATTGTTTTCAGCTACTGGAAAATATCTGGCATCTTTGAAATTTCCAGGGGTGTTTGTGTCGATTGTGAAATCTTGGGTTTTTGGAAAGAAACTGGAGAAACGTTTAGTATTCTTGATGGAAAATGAGCCTCTGTTTCACATCGTTGGTTATCAAGGCTCCAGCAGACCCAGTGAGGGCTGTGGTGTATGAGTAAAACTACAAGCAGGTGGATGAATCTAAGGATCTATTAAAGCAACACTAAACAATTTTCCTGATGCTTAAAAATGGAATACAACTGTTGTAAACATCCCTGCTGCAGCCCTGCTAACAACGAGCTAATGCTAAAATAAGCCAACTAATACTGCTATCCTATACTGTAAAACTTTATGGATGCTACATACGTATGCCACAAAGTTAAAAGCTCCGCACTGGTGGAAGAACATGTTATTACTTACAAGTCCAGTAGCAACAAGACCAGGTCATCATCAGTCTGTGACGTTGTAGCATATTTTAGCTCCCTCAAGCGAGTGTAAGTCGCACTGATGTTCACTCTGGTTTTAGCTCTTTCATTCACCTCCAAATGCAATACTCTCTTACTTTTACTTCAAGGTTCCTCTAAGATGCCAACAAAAAATGCAAAATCCTTCCACTTCTTGGCAAACTGAAAAAGCTAACTGCTAGCCTTTTTATTAGCTACCAGCACAGTAAACAGCTATAGGGAGCCTAAGTGACAGAACATCTACATCTGGACCATGGGTCCCCGGAAGAACGAAAAAATTAATACAAGTCAGTGGGACTAGAAACTATGGCTGCATGACTTCATTTTTTTAAAGTCGACCGTCAAGTAATGAAAATCGACTCGACTTCGACTAGTCCTTGATGACGTCATACACCTGAAGCGGCTAAAATTACGCCCACATTTTCAAAGTTAACACACATCTCTTTTAACAACGGTAGTTTCTGCTTCAGCCCTCTCCCCCCTCCCCCTGCGCAGCGTCCGCAAACTCACTGATGCGCCTGCAGCCTCTCAGAGTTGCTGCTGCTCTAGACATTAAAATGATAATTTCATTTTCTGTTCCTCACTTCTGATTACCTTCAATGGTGTCTGTTTGTTGCAACCACCAGGTATAAAAACAAACTTGTTTCAATGTGACTATTTTTCTGTCCTGTCTCTGTTTATTATCTTCCTGCATCTCCTCTCAATCCTAAAGAAAAACTGCTACCTGGGTTCATACATTTTCACCTTATGAGTTACCTTTGAACTGCAGTTCTAAAAGATCTACCGACCGCAAAAACAGTGGAGTGCGCGCTGCGCGCCGGCCGCACTAGTGGATTACGTCACCGGAGGACAAAACAGGTGATGCGCTCCGCTCCACAGCAGCGAAACACATCAGGCACAAAGAAAAGACAGAAAACATAAAAGGAAATGAGCCGACATGAACGATCGCGTTGTTTTTGAGGTGGCGACACCTAATTTGATAAACTGTAGCCGTGCTTAGGACGCAGATGTCTGGAGCGCATCAACGATCAGAGCTTTGCATGCGCAAGCTGGTTAAGGTTAGGATGGGGGTGAGGGGAAGGTTAAATTGTAAGAGGGTAAAGGCCACAATTTGGTCAAATGTCCGTTTTACGACGGGCGTCAGATACCGACACTCTGGCACAGCGCGTCGTCTCCCAGCGTGCAGGGGCTCATCACCTGCTGTCTTTTCCGAGGACTGCATCTTGTCGGAAGATTATCATATGACAGCAACTACCATAATTTCCGGACTATAGAGCGCACCTCAATATAAGCTGCACCAGCAAAAAAAAAGGTTTTCTACACACGCCGCACTCAAATACATGCCGCGGCGCAGCAGCCACATGCAGTTCTCCAGCGCACAGCGCATGCTGTCATGTTGCAGGTGTGGATGACGGCGGACCATGTGTGGCAGAGCTGACCAGGAGGTAAAAATGCAGGCTTCAGAAAAAGTAAAATGGTTTTAATGGTGGACTGGGAATGACAGGAACAAAACAACAATGACTACAAGCAACAGTGATCTGACAAAGACTGGCACAAGGAGGGAGGTATAAATACACAGGGAAATCAGGAACACATGGGCAGGTTAACGAGGGGCAGGTGAGAACAATACGGGCTAATCAGGGCAGGAGAGAGACACAGTCAGGAAGGCAGGGGCAGAACATGACAGCATGTATGGTCATAACATAAGATAAATAGACAGAAAGACGCTACACAGAGATTTTTCGTTGTTTTAATTCAACTAAACGAATTTCAAACACACGTTTCATGGGAAAACAGGTAACAAAACTGTTCCGTGTTTTAAAAAAGAACCACAGCATGGAATTTTAAACACGGTTGAAGGTGCCTGCAAGCTTAGAAAAGAAAACAGCACTGATAGCATTCATATTTCTGGATGGTTATAAAATAAAAACAGAACTGACACGTTATTACCGGTAATTTGCATGCATGTTTGGAAGAAAAGAACATCGCTGACACAGCATTAATAAGCCCTGGATGATTAGAAAATAAAACCTGCACACAAAACATGCGTGTTAGTAAATAAAGCAGTCATTCGCTCTCATCTTCCTCTTGTGCACTAAAGCCATTAAAGTCCTCTTCTTCAGTGTCGGAGTTGAACAGCCTCAGAAGAGCTTCGCCACATACCTTTTCTGTGGCGATGTCAGTGTCACTCTCTGTGTTGCTGTCATCATCCCCGGGTGAAGCTGGCTTGAATGAGTTCATCCCGCTGCCGTCTCCAGCGCCGAACCATGGATCCATTCATGCCAAGTTTACGTGCGGCAGCACTGTTTCTGTTGTATGGAGTATAATCAGACTTTTTAATAACTTTCTATTTAATTAAGTCTGGATTATGTCTCTCATTATGTGAAATCAATTCTAGGCTTTCCAAAGTCTATCCATGTGTGTGTGTCCCTACAGCCTTGTCTCTTATCACCCCTGAAGTCGTTAATTGCTAGTTGTCTTCACCGAGCTGTTTTGGTCTCACGGTTCTGTGGTAACCTTTTTGACCTCCAGAGAAGTGGAGGAGGTAAGGAGGCTCATTCTGGAGAAAGTCCTGGTGCACCAGCTAATGGTTTATCCAAACAAGACATAGAATTTTAGAATCGATAAAACTGCTCCCCCTGACAAGCAAGAAGGAGGAGCAACGTTGGGCTAGTGTCAACAGCATGCAGAGAAGAGGAAAGCCTGCAGGAGGCGCTGAGAAGACGAAACAAGTGAATGGATGAAGACTGGGGGAAGAAAAGGTGACATCATAACATCCAAGATTTATGGTCTCTTCGGTTCCGTTGGAGAAGTAACAAGAAGAAGAGGAACATGTGACCAGGAAGTCTGAAGTCTGAAGCAGCAAACAAAAAATGACTGTGAGGGAAGGGGGACAGAGTAAATAAAAAGGAGCTACTGGGTCTGAAGGAAGGGCCTTTGATGGGAAGAGTTTGTGAGGTAGAGAGATGGGAAGAAGGAAACTTTTGCTTTGAACTTTTTGTCTGTGATAATCTGACCTAGTGTCATTTTTGGAGAGCTTATTCAGCTCAACTTTGCTACAACTCGGTTTATTGCCAAAGAGTTGTTTCACTTTTTAACCCGCTTTGTCAGAGTTTCGTTTGGATTATTATTCTTTTTTCATCTGTGTGAAATAAAACCTAGTTCATCGGATTTGAGGAACGAAAAAAGGATTTACGAGTGGGGTCTCCTCCTGTCGGGAACCGAGCAAAGGTGAGATGCTGGTTGTAAATTCCATCCCAAGGTGTTATTGATACAAGTTGTTTCCTCCATCCTAGGCTACAGGTAAAGTCAGTTGTCTCCTCAGCATAAAAGGAACAGCTGGCAAGGGTCTTAACCTGAAGTGTACATTCATGGACTGGGGGTGTGTGTAGGTATGGTTGCGCCTCTTTTGTGTCTGCTTAAACAAATTTGGTCAGAATTAGAAGCCCTGGGTAAGTTGGTGATTGCTAGTCAACTCTCTACAAAGTAAGGGTGTTTGTCGGTAACTAGATGCCACGCTCACTACACCGATTACAAGCCAAACCCTGAGATATTAATAACATCTAGAAGAGTGGAGCTAGCCCGGTAAATTGGCTTGTAACAGTTTCCCTCCTTTACTGCCAGATCGATGGCCTTCAACTTAAATGCGGCAACATATGAACTCATACGTGTAGTTTCCATGATGAGGGGGTATGGATTTGAAAAAAAAATCTTCGTCGTGCCGGCTGCTTGCATGTGCTAACTTAAAATGAGCACTTTCTTTGATTTCCACTTTTGACTCCCAAAGCCGCACCTCATTATAAGCCACATGGTTCAAAGCATGGGAAAAAAGTAGCAGCTTATAGTCCGGATAATATGGTAGTCTATGAAAGGCATAAAAAGTCACTACAGAGTCGACTAGTCGACAACTATTTTAGGTTTTGTGTGAAAAGACTTCTACAACTAAATGCGCAAAACCATAATGGTGTCATCAAACCAAACACTGAGAAGAGAATGGCTGTGACATAGTCCAAACTCACATCATTACTTTTCATTCTAATTGAAGTACAACATATGTGTGATTCAGGGCATAAGGCTAAGTAAGTTAGAAATTTGCTCTTTTAGCCCTATTTACTTTTGCTTTCATTTTATCGTTGTTCTGGGGTCACATGAGCGGAAAGGGAGGAGACAAAGGCTCCCTGTCGTCGTAAAGCAGGTAGAGACCTCCCACTAGTGTTCCTACACAAACCATAAAACTGTTGAGTGCAGTTTTTAGTCAGCAGGGGGCAGTAGAGTGCTGTTTGATGGTAAGCTGCTTGAGTTTTTGTCTCAAGGACCACTAAAACCAATTTGAAAGCAATAGCTTAAAGTTTAGTGTTGCTTTTACAGAAACAGCTTGTGTAGAACACGAATACCTTCAGGGCGGATCCAGAGAGAAAAACAAAGGAACCAAGGGCCAAATTAGCAGGGAGGGCCAATGACATATAATGATCATGCATCTGAGCCAAACCTCCTCTCTGCAAATATTACATAAATATACATTCATTGTTTTCTATTATTCTGCATGGAATGCTTCTTATTTTCTCATGAAAACAATGAAATCTGCCTGACAAACATTTTTACTTTAGAAAACAGGCCTGAACCTTTCCGGTGGACCAGCCAGCACTGAAGAACTCCACAAGCAACGGCGTAACCGGTCTCCAACAAAAACCTGAAGTGGGTCAGGAGATATTTAGGGACAAGAGTGCTCGGGGACGTGAAGAAGGAAAGGATTCGGAGGGATTTAAAGAGCTGTTTGTTTCATCACCGTTTGTTGCCATAGCCAGGCCTGGATTATGGTGCTCGGCTCGCATTTTCTTATCACCGCTCTCAGATTTAGAAGGAGGATGTTTCCTGTTGCAGCTGGGCCAAGAGGGCAAAGCGCTGTAAAACACAAGATACATTAGAGATAGTCGTCTTACTACAAATGACTCTGATAATGAGCTCCCATGATAGTTATCGATCCCAAGCTTTGTTCTGTTATCTAAAACCAAACATCTCACTCGTTTCTGCTGTCCGAGCCTTTCAACCCTGTCGTCATGATGCTCTGATTCTGTTTTATAGAAGCTTTTCTAGACCTTTATGATTGAATCGTTCATGTTTCTGTGTTCATGGTTCATTTTGCTGGAGCATAACTGACCCATCACACTGGAGGAAGCTCTGGTTAGTGTTAGGAACCAGAGATGAGGAATTGTGGCATCAACAAGTCATCTCCGTGCCGTGTTGTCCTTCAGCTCGGCAACTAAACCAGGTGATCTCAATCTGCACGGTGAATGAGTTGCTGGGCAGAACAAAAACTAGTGTTTTCTAAAATATTGCTATTAAAACATTGAGAAGCGGGTGAGTGTGTTTATCATTATTAGCTGTTAAAACTCAGCCAATAATAAAAAATGTAAAACAAGGAAGTTATGTTTTTACCCACAAAGCACCTTGACAAGTCTTTAGCAGCTTCCTGTACACATGAGTCCCCGATGACCTGCTACAAGTCAGATGATGACAAACACAAGGGGCAGATCATCGCTCACTGTAAACACACACACACACACACACACACACAAAGGGATGTATTCACATAACAACACACATGCAGCCTGAAGCTTACATCCACAAACAGATACACAAGGTCATTCTCACTCTGGTACTCCACCTCTCTCTCTCTCTCTCTCTCTCTCTCTCTCTCTCTCTCTCTCTCTCTCTCTCTCTCTCTCTCTCTCTCTCTCTCTCTCTCTCTCTCTCTCTCTCTCTCTCTCTCTCTCTCTCTCTCTCTCTCTCTCTCTCTACACACACACACACACACAGAGCAAAGAAGCCAGATGGAATCACAGCGTGGGATGTGGCCTTTCACACTCTAGAGACTTAATTTCTTTCCGTTTGTTCTCCTTCACCAACCCTTTTTCCTCCTTTTTATCATCCAACTTTCTTCTGTACTTTGTATAATCTTTCAAGAACTCTTTTAATCTCATTCTTTTTTCTTTACACGACCAGATTGTTTATGGAAACATTATTTATTCCAGATCAATTTAAAGACTTGTCAGTTTTCACCAGGAAACAGATCCTCCTCTTTCCTTTTCTCTGGCTGCAGTCTTCCTCAATCAAGTCAAAGACTTGAGAAAACAGGGAGATGCTTAGTCCTCTGGGCTTTTGGGGTGCTGTAAATATTGATCACAGGTTGAATGCAATTACTATAATGGACAAAAAAAAGATAAACTTGCAGCCTCTGATGAAACAAGGTTGGCTTTAGTGTGCAGTTTGTAGAGATGAGATGGAGTAAACTTGCCAGCAGGCCACTGCTGATTTAAAGAAGTGGAGTATCCTTTACCGACAAAGGCTCCTAATTGGGATAATGTCCATTAAGAGCTGTGGTATCCTGATTGAGGGAAATACTTCACCATTCCGGTATGAAGAAGCTGTTTGGAGATGTTTAAGGGAATAAATGACTAGATGCTTAATTAGCAAAAGTTGTTTGTATATAATGAAATGATGTTTTTAATCAGTTGTGGATCAAAGAAATAGATTTTATATCCCGAAGGACTGATGAGCTAACGGCTAGTTTGTTGTGCAGCCTAGACCAGAGCCTCCAACTGGCCCTTGTCCCACAGAAGTTCATCCGATCTGGACTCTCCAAACCATCATAAAGTCATTAATATGGAATTCACTGGTTAGTGTAAATACCACCAGAACCAGCCAGGAGGCCATTTTGGCGGGGGGTGCCAAACTCCCGTAAAGAGAACATCAGCAGCCTAATTTTATCAATAAACTATTTTTTCGAAAACTCCATTTGTTGTTGAGTTTTATGGATATTTTAATCCCCTTTAGCCTCTCTGTTTATTCAGCATGAGCTTACACTCATAACTCAGGTCGTCTATGGAAACCTTCAGCTGCTGAAGACACTTCGCTAAAGCACCGGCTGCTAATCTTTAAACAGACACATCTCCAGGGGTACAATGAGCACGCCCCTGATGGCATATCATGACACAATCTATAGGAGACATCTTGATGCCAGGCTGCAGATGGCAACACCCCACAGTCCTGGCTGAAGTAGCCAGCAGAGCGGGAGCAGCCCAGCTAGTCTGAGACCTTCTCCTTCAGAAATGTGAACATTCACAACCGTTCCCAAAGAGGACCCGACGTTCATCCTCTTCAACCCAGAGATGTTTAGTCACCTACTCCATGAGCTCAGGAGTCCTATCAGCTGGTCAGCAGAAGTGTGTTCACAGACACAACACACCCTCTGCTTCATGCTGAGCTGAAAACACTTTTATTTTGCATTAATGTCTGTAAACGCAGTCGTAGTTTGGCATTTTGAGTTGGAGGAGACATAGCTGAACCTGTGCATGGTGTGTGACAGTTGGGTCATTAAAAGAGTAAAAACGGATCCCGATCTTTTACGGTAGGACATTTTAATGCCAGTATCAGTGTGTGATCGTGGTAGTCGGATAATGTGGGACATTACATGCAGTGAGAATGAGACACAGACTTCACACTTTTCCTCACACTGAAAAACAAAATCAACAAATTTCACAAGTTGGTTTTTTTTCCTTGTAAATTTACAACCTTCTGACATCTTTTGAATTGATGGTGAATCGCCTGAATTGGATGTAGGGTTCTAAAAACACCCAAGGCACTTTATAATGCATCCAGTCCTTCATAGCTGGGGCACACTGACCTCAGAGAAATTTAGCAGAAATGTGATTCTTCACAGCAATTACTTTGCTTTTATAGTCTCAATACTTCATAGTTAACAACTTTGAATAAATAAAATACTTTTAGTTCTAAGTATGTTCGTTATGACACTTAAATTTGTGGTTTGTAATAAAAAGGATGTCTAATTAGACATATTAATGTTTATTTCAATCAGAAATGATCTCACTCTGTAAACAGGCCATGTAAATGCTGGATTCTGACATTGGTAGTGAAGCAGGCCGAAGATCTTTATTACTGACAGGAACAAACGTACACGGGATCCATCGTGGATTTTCTCAGCACTTAGGCCCAATCTTAATACTCACACTGCGCCCTGCGGACTACAGATAAGTGCACTTGGAGAAAGTGTGCAGTGGTTCACAAGTGTGCAAATAATTGTGGAGTTGAGACAGGGAGCATTGCATCATCGATCACATCGCATGCCGGGATGCTGGTCGCTGTGATACCCTTTTCAAAAACCTTTATTAACAACTTTTAAACAAACAGCCAAACAGTTATTTGAAATTAATTTACATTCATTGCTGCTTTGTCTAAAAGTTCTAGAGCAGGGGTGTCAAACTCAAACTCACATGGGGCCGAAATGAAACTCTGGGACGGAGTCGAGGGCCAAACTTAATATTTTTTGAAAAAGTGACAGCAAATTTGCACGTTTTCTTTATCAACATATATGCAATTTTGAACCTTTAAATTTGGAAACAAACATTTCTGCATTAACACTGAATGTGGAATAACCAAATTAAACACAAGCAAGTCAGTTTTAAATAAAAGGCATCAGTGGTATTCATTACTTGTGGTATATTCAGCATTTTTAAAATCTATTCAGGATTTATGTTTTCTTGTTTATTCGTTTTTCTTATTTTTTATTCTCCTTTTTTCTCCTGTAATAAGTGTCATCACTGCTGTGACGTCTAGCTTTCCCCACTGAGGAACAATAAAGGGATTTTCTATTCTATTCATCTATCTGCAGCCTTTCCACTTCCTGTTTACTGTAGGTTAAATATTTTCTCACGGGCCAACAACAAAATAAAAATATCATTTTATCTTAAATGAAAATGCAACATCTCACCTGTTAACTTTCATGTTTTGGAGCAGAAAAAGAGCATAAAACCAAAATATTTAAAGCTCAGTGTGCTCCACTGGTTTACTGTGATGCTCACCTGTTCCAGCCAGATACCTGCATCATGGGGTTGATCTGAGCTGAGGAGGAGACTCCTGTTGTTTTGTTTATCTTCATCATAATAATGACAACATTACATGACAACAGGTGCTCACATAGGTTTGTGCTGATGAACATGTCTGAGCAGCTTGACCGCGTTGTTGTGTGTCGGGGAGGAGACACGACAGCAGCCACAGAGTCATGCTGGTTTGAGCGTGTCGCTGCTCGCTGGAGTTATATCAGCTCTGTCTGGACGTTAGTTGGAAAACTTTCTCTTTAAGTCGTGAACACATTACTGAGCGGCTAGAATCTCCGTTTCTGGGCTTCAACGTCAGAAAACAGCTGAGTGAACTCGGCGCTGAGAGAGAGGAGTCTAGTTTGTCCGAGACAGCGGAGCTGCAGACACCCAACTACCTCTGACTGCCTCGGCGCTGAAAAAACACAAAGGAGGGGGCGCGTCTGCTCCGCGCTGGCGCCGCAAAGCATCATGGGAGTTGTAGTATTTGCGGTAAAATCGGCCAGCGGGCCAGTTTTAATATATTTTTGATATTTATCTCGCGGGCCACATAAAAATGCTCCATGGGCCGCATCTGGCCCGCGGGCCTTGACTCTGACATATGTGTTCTAGAGCATCAACTAATCGTTCTAAAATCAACTAATTTCATTAGAAAATACATATTTTTAGAAAAGGAACTTGAGCCTTTTCTCCTGCAGCAATGACTTGTGGGTAATACCCTTGCCCGAGGTCCGCATCGCTGCAGACTTGGGTGAAGTGCAGATTAAGGGTGCAGTGGGAGCGTGATCAGCTTCCGCACTTGAGAATCGGGACACCCTACGCACTCGCACCCCTGGTGGGGAATGAGCAAATGAAGGGTGCAAGTGTGAATATTGAAATTGGGCCTATGTCTGCCTCTAACACCTCAGCATGGGCACACACTTCCCCTAGTGTTCAGAACAGTAAATAAACTAATTATTATCTGACCTCAAAGGAAAGAAACTCCTGATTCTCCAACACCCTTCTCACCAAAAATGTAAAGCTTTGAGCCTTGAGAGAGATCATAAAAGGTCTGTGTGAGACCTGGAGTGTGGACAGATACACGTGACCTCCACAAAGGTTCTGTGATGCCTGGCGAGGGGGGCAAACCCATTTTACTGGAAATTGCTCCCAGCTTTAGCAGAAAAGAGGAAATACCAGTGGAGGAGACAGATCTTCTGAGCCTCTGTTCAACATAATTGTCATTGTTCATGTCTGCTGACTTTAAGCTGAAACACCTGCTGCAGGAGCGCTGAAAGACCTCTCTGTGCTGATGACCCAGGAAAGTTCACTGTGGACTCAGAAGGGTTTTGATGAACCTGGTGGGGCTTCAGCTCAGAGAGGCAGAAACGTCTCACACAGACAGTTAGGAGACCAAACTCGTGTTTGAGTCAGAAACACTCAGTTGGTTTTCTCCAGCTGTTATCAAAACAGGCTTTCAGTAAAGGCGTTACGATCTAATCTCACCTGGAAAAACAGATTCAGATACAGTTTGTGCTGTTTCA